GCCTTTTGCTTGTTCCATGGTCAATAGATGCGTGGTTGAAATTCTTTCCATGTGTATTCTCTAGGTGCCAAGTGACATTATCAAGATTTTAGCTATGGGCAATCCAAGCAGTGTATAATTTATCAAACTCTTGTGTTCGTAGCGTTGTGTATGTAGCGTTATGTCGTGTCAATCTTTAATGGGTAACGTAATTCACTACCGAGCCGGCCACACCACCGAGTCGGCCACTTCAGAACACCATAGTTAAAGGCTGTTTTTGATAAACTTATATCTTAACAACCATAACTTCAATTCCGTTAATTAGTTACATATATATATTGATAAGCATATCCTAACATCTCTAGAACTTTCAAGCGAATCAATAAATCAGATAACGATGATACCATAAATTACAATGTAATTTAGCTACTTCAGCTACAGATATATATACAGTCAACTCTCGCTTATACCACGGTGGGATATTGCACATTCTTGATAATAACACATCCCTTGCTTGGATGGCCCCTTCATTCCAGTTTTTTCCATATAAATTGACAGAATATAACACATTTTGTTTTACCACACTTTCTTCCTCTCAAATCTGCTTAGTCAGCGCAATCAACCAATCAGAATGCCTCAATCTACAAGCTCTCCTACCCTCCCGACCCCACCCAAGCGCGTCAGAATGGGACCAAAGCGTACCAAATTGGGTATATCAGACGCGCAGAAACAGGCACTACGGGCATTTTGGTCTAATACTAGCCCAAAGCCCACGCAGACTGCATGTGCTAAGTGGTTTGAGGACCAATTCAAACAAGTGATTGACCGGTCAACCATATCAAGGATCCTTTCATCCAAATACAATTATCTTGATACGGGCCCTGCAGGGGCAAACAAACGATCTTCATCCTCTCATTGGCCATTATTGGACCAAAAGCTATATGACTGGGCAGATAACCATATTGGCAATGGAATACCAATAAATGGCCCTTTGATCCAAACTAAAGCAGCTGAGCTTTGGAGACAAATACCGGAATACAAAGATCGGACCAAACCTCAATTCTCTGAGGGTTGGTTAACTCGCTTCAAACAACGCCACTCTCTTCAATATCATACTTTCCACGGAGAAGCTGCCTCAGTCCCATCCTCGGTACATGATCAGATCAAAAGCACCAAATCGATTTGCAATCAATTCAAACCGTCCGAAATCTACAATATGGATGAAACTGGCCTATTTTGGCGACGTATGCCAAATGGTGGTCTTTCAAAGGGAAAAATTGCTGGCAAAAAGCTTGATAAAACACGAATCACTATTGTTGTTGCATCAAATGCGGATGGTTCCGATCGAGTCCCTTTATGGTTGATTGGCACAGCAAAAACCCCTCGCGCACTCCGGGGGGTTAATTTCCGAGCTCTGGGATGTGTTTGGCGTCACAACAAGGCAGCATGGATGCGTCATGACATTATGGAGGACTGGTTGCGATCTTTCTATGGGCGTATTCCCTTAGATAAGAAAGCTTTGCTCCTTTTAGACAATGCTTCACCACATGTTATTGGACTCCAGCGAGCGCCACCACCACCCCGGATTACGGTTGTTTTTTTGCCAGCAAACGCAACTTCAATTTATCAACCCTTGGACCAAGGTATTATCCAAAACTTGAAGCACCATTATCGGAAGAAATGGATGCGCTATATGATTGCTTTTCTTGATCGTGGGATAGACCCAAAACAAAGAATGAGCATTTATTATACTGTTACCTGGGTAACGCAAGTTTGGAGAACAAGTGTATCAGACCAAACGATTATCAATTGCTTTAAACAAAGTACTTTGATTAGTCCAAAGTCTATACCTATACCTGAGTCCGCGCCCGAGTCCGCACCTGAGTCTGCACTATTTTCCGAGCCCGGATTGAGTGATGAGATTGAAAGTCTATATAATCAAGCAATTGATAAGCTTGGTGATAAAGATATTGTGCCATTTGACGAGTTTTTGAACCCTTCGGACGAAGACATGTTAGAAGATGGGACTGAAGGGCGAGATGAGACCAATGAGCAAGATATATATATTGCCCCAACAACCTCAGAAATTCAGGATATTGACATTGATGGGCCCCCACCTGAGCTTCTGTCTAATTCTGCTATATTGGACAGCCTCCAGGATATCCTACTATGGGTTTGTAGCAAAGAAAAGGGTACCTCGGACCATATTAGACAAATTGAGAGCTTAATCAGCGACTTTGGCAGGATTCAGATTGATGAGAAACGTCAGGTGACTTTGGATCAGATGATGGGATGGAAGACTAAATAGGTATTAGGGCTTAGAGTTAGCTTGTCAAATATTATGTCATCCTCTCACCAAAACACAACTCAATTATACCACGTAATTTGGCTTGGATAGTATGCTGTGGTATAAGCGAGAGTTGACTGTATCTTGAATAGTCTATCATAAAAATCCCCTAAACTTTGTCGAAGTGTTATACTATGTATCTGGAACATGACCTTTTAATATGAAATATATATAAGTCCCTATTGTTAGGATATAGTACTGTAATTTATCCCCTTAACTATGGTGTTCTGAAGTGGCCGACTCGGTGGTGTGGCCGGCTCGGTAGTGAATTACGTTAGATAACCTAGGGGCGCCTGCATATGCAGGCGGTAACTAGCTAACGTTACTACAACTACTTGTATATAGAATAAGAATAATGTGTCTGGTATCTAAATGCTCGATGTGTTCGCAATCTGTCGGTCACTATATAGCTAATTTTGGTCGTACATACATTGCATGAGATATTTACATTACAGTTTGGCAAAGACAGTGGCTACAGCACCGCTCATATCAACGAGTGTGCTCTTGTTCTGCAGCCAAGCCTCAATACCACGACGACCATTCTCTACGCCTAGACCGCTCTTCTTCCAGCCACCAACAGCCATCTCAGCAGGGCTCTCACCCCAGGTGTTGACCCAAGTGATACCAGCCTGGAGCTGGTCAATAACACGGTGGGCCTGGTTCAGGTCCTTGGTGAAGACACCAGCGGCGAGACCAAGCTCCGTAGCGTTGGCGCGCTGCACAGCCTCCTCAACGGTGTCGTAGTACAGGATGGACATGACGGGACCGAAGATCTCCTCCTTGACAATGCGCATGGAATCAGTGCAGTCGGTGAAAATGGTAGGCTGGACCCAGAAACCGGCCTGCAGGTCCTTGGGCACAGAGGGCTTCTCGACACCACCGCAGAGGAGGGTGGCCTTGTCGGACTCAATTCCGTGGCGGATGTAGGAGACAACCTTCTCGTAGTGGGCGGAAGAGCTGAGGGGGCCGAAGTTGGTCTGCTCGTCGAAGAGCGGGCCAGCCCGCACATACTGGATCTTCTCAAGGAGGGACTTTTCGAAAGCGGCCTTCATGGCGCGGGGGACGAAGACCCGTGTACCGTTGGTGCAAACCTGGCCGGTGCTGTAGAAGTTGGCCATCATGGCACCGTCAACGGCGTTCTCAAGCTCGGCGTCTGGGCAGACGATCAGGGGGCTCTTGCCGCCCAGCTCCATAGTCACATATTTCATGTTGCCGGAGGCGTTACCGGCAACCTTCTGGCCAGTTGCCACCTGGCCGGTGAAGGAGACCTTAGCGATGAGAGGGTGGCCGGTCAGGTAGGAGCCAACGTCACCAGCGCCGTTGACCACGTTGAAGACACCATCGGGGAGGCCGGCCTCGGTGTAGATCTGTGCAAGGGTTTGGCCGTGGAGAGGGGTGAATTCACTGGGCTTATAGATCATCGTGTTACCGGCGGCCAAACAGGCAGCGGACTTCCAAAGAGCACTAGACACAGGTCAATTTGGTCAAGGTAAGGAGCAAAGCAATGGAAAACTTACATCTGAATGGGGTAGTTCCAAGCACCGATGCCGGCACACACACCAAGAGGAGCCTTCTTGGTATACACCCACGCGTCCTCACGGAGGTGAGTAGTCTCACCATTGAGACCACCACCGCCAATGAAGTTGGCGTAGTACTCCAAAACATCGGCACCTGTTACAACGTCGACAGTGCTTGTCTCGGTGAAGGCCTTGCCCGAGTCCAGAGTCTCCAGGCGGGCGATTTCATCGTTGCGCTCGCGCAGTAGAGCAGCGGCTTTGTGAAGGATACGGGCACGGGCAATTAGGGGAGTCTGGGCCCACGAGGGGAATGCGCGGTCTGCGGCAGCAATGGCAGCATCGACATCGGCGTTGGAGGCGACCTGGATATCGGCCAACGGAGTTGCGGTGGCGGGGTTAATGGTCTGAAAGGTCTTGCCGGAGGTAGCGGCCTGGACCTTGCCGCCGTAGTAAAGCTGACGAGGAGGGAATTCGAGAGACATGACTGCGTTGTGAATGGATAGTGTCAGCGAAGATATGAGACTAAGGTCTTAGCAGATTTACTTCACACCGCCTTGGAACAACCTCGGGCGACTTTAGCGCAGGCCTTAAAATTGCAAGCAAATCTCGTACGTAACAAGCCGCGCTAGATGGCGGGGAGTCTTGGCCAATCTGCACTTTCGCCTACTCTGAATGGCTCGTAAGTCCTCAGCCGGGACTTCCGCCCTAAGAATGGAATTCTTAGCCTTACGCCTGTGACGTACTACTACGGCTATGATACACAAAATCATAATCTAGCGTCGGAAGGGTAATCCTTTCCTGGGTAGCATCTCCTATCTAGTTAATATTCTTACTCCAAAATACTCCAAGATACACATACAAGATACACGTGCATATGCCTCGTACGATAAGCGATGAAACAGTTCGGCCGTTAATAGTTAAGAGGCGGTAGGCTCATTATCTAAAACCTTCTCCACTTGAGTGATCGCCACCAGTCAGAGTCTTCTAATTCGCCGAGTCTAACTGGAAAAAAATACGAGAAAAAAAAAGTGGAAAGGTTAAAAGACGAATTTGGTAAACCGATAGAGACGTGTTGGATTCCTCAGACCACTTCAATTTCTCCATTAAAAAAGAACGGTCTCCTCTTTTCATACCTCCCTCATACATACATCTCCAACATGGCTACCACAAATGAGCTCCCCGCCCTCGATGTCAACAGCTACGACTACATCGTCGTTGGCGGTGGTACTGCTGGCTGTGTGATCGCCGCACGTCTGGCCGAGTACCTCCCCAACAAGCGCACTCTGGTCATTGAGGGTGGTCCCAGTGATTTCATGGACGACCGTGTCCTGAACCTGAAGGAATGGCTCAACCTCCTCGGTGGCGAGCTCGACTACGACTATGGCACCACCGAGCAGCCCATGGGTATGTCGCCCGTTTCCTAGACCTCAACGAGTCTTTGCTGACCACCCCGCAGGTAACAGCCATATCCGTCACTCCCGCGCGAAGGTCCTCGGTGGTTGCTCCTCCCACAATACTCTGATCTCCTTCCGTCCCTTCGAGTATGATTGCCGTAACTGGGTGTCCAAGGGCTGCAAGGGCTGGGACTTTGAGACCTTCACCCGCATCATTGACAACCTGCGCAACACCTTCCAGCCGGTGCACGCCCGCCACCGCAACCAGCTGTGCAAGGACTGGGTGCAGGCCTGCGCCAGCACCATGAACATCCCCGTCATTGAGAACTTCAACGACGACATCCGCAACAAGGGTGAGCTGACCGAGGGTGTTGGCTTCTTCAACGTCTCCTACAATCCTGATGATGGCCGCCGCAGCAGCGCCAGTGTCGCCTATATTCACCCCATTCTGCGCGGTGATGAGAAGCGTCCTAACCTGACCATCCTCACCAACGCCTGGGTTTCTAAGGTGAACGTGGAGGGCGATGCCGTCACTGGTGTCGACGTGACTCTGCAGTCAGGTGTCAAGCACACCCTACGCGCTAAGAAGGAGACCGTTCTGTGTGCCGGTGCTGTCGACACCCCTCGTTTGATGCTGCTCTCTGGTCTCGGCCCTAAGGAGCAGCTCTCCGAGCTGGGCATCCCCGTTGTCAAGGATCTCCCCGGTGTCGGTGAGAACCTGATCGACCACCCCGAGAGTATCATCATGTGGGAGCTCAACCGCCCCGTGGACCACGACCAGACCACCATGGACTCGGACGCTGGTATCTTCTTGCGCCGCGAGCTCCCCAACGCCGCTGGCTTCGACGGCCGCGCCGCCGATGTGATGATGCACTGCTACCAGATTCCCTTCACCCTCAACACCACTCGTCTCGGCTACGACGAGCCCGTGAATGCCTTCTGCATGACCCCCAACATTCCCCGTCCCCGTTCCCGCGGTCGTCTCTTCTTGACCTCGGCCGACCCCTCCGTGAAGCCCGCGCTGGATTTCCGCTACTTCACTGACCCCGAGGGCTACGACGCCGCCACCATCGTCGCTGGTCTCAAGGCCTCCCGTGAGATCGCCAAGCAGTCTCCCTTCAAGGAATGGATCAAGCGCGAGGTCGCCCCTGGCCCTAAGCTGCAGACCGATGAGGAGCTGTCCGAGTACGGCCGCCGTGTTGCCCACACCGTGTACCACCCCGCTGGTACCACTAAGATGGGTGACATTGCCCGGGACCCTATGGCCGTTGTGGACCCCAAGCTCAAGATCCGCGGCCTCAAGGGTGTCCGTATCGCGGATGCCGGTGTCTTCCCCGATATGCCTACCGTCAACCCCATGTTGACCGTGCTGACCATTGGTGAGCGTGCCGCCGAGCTTATCGCCGAGGAGGCCGGCTGGGCTCGCAACCAGCCCCGCCTGTAATGCACATGATGTGACATGCCTGTAAAAATAGCTTATGTTTGGATTTTGGTTTCATTTTTGCATACAAGCGAGCGGCGCATCCACCATGGATCTGCTGCAACCAGTGCCTGCGAGACGGACCTGGCATTTTGATTCCTGGATATTTACCATAACAATCTACGTAAATGATTTGGTTCCTCAATTTTTCTCTTTGGATAATGAATAATGTGAGACTAACATGAGAGGTATTTCAAGATCGTAGATCTACGATCATGCACTTGGGTTCTATGCTCATGCAAATAAAAACAACCTCAACGCCTATAACCGGTAAACCGAGAGTTATGTCAAAAAGAATAGAAGCAGAAAGCAGAAAACGTCAACATCTCAAACCTCCTTGTCAGTATCATGAATCTTAGTACCGAGCTTCCACACCTGATCAACAGTCAAGGTAGGACCAGAGAACGGATCATCATTCTCACCCAGCACAACCAGATCAGCATCAGCACCACTATCCAGCGATCCCTTCACACCCTGCAAGCCAAGCAGACGCGCAGGAGTAGCAGTAACCGCATTGATAGCAGCAGCAGTGGACGAACCAGACCAGCGACGGAAGTTATTAACACACTCGATAAGCGTCGCCGAAGAACCAGCAATCTTATCCGAGCCCTCAAGCGTCAACCGTGCACCAGTCTTCACAATCCGTTCCCCGTTCGTCCACTCATATGTCCCATCCGGCAATCCACAAAGCCGCATAGCATCCGTAACAAGAATCAACCCCTCAGGGTGCGCATTGTACGCAATCTTAATAGAAGTAGGATGCAAATGGATACCATCGGCAATAACACCATAGAACGGCCGACGGCGCTCACTCTGGCCGAGCAAACCGAAGATACCAGGGTTACGGTGGTAGAAGGGACGCATAGCATTGAAGAGGTGGGTAATCATGCGCGCTCCCTGGTGGGTAGCTTGCACGGCCTGCTCGTAGGTTGCGTCTGAGTGGCCGATGGCGTAGACGATGTCGCGCTTGGCGATCTCTGGGATTTGGGACATCATGTCGCCGACTTCCGGGGCTGCGGTTATCATCTTGATTGGGTTTGCGCTGGTCATGTTATCTGCGCCGTAGCAATGGAGGAGGTCTTGGAAGGTTTGCGCTGCGCGGAGCACTTCAGTCTTGTGGACGCCGTTGCGGCCGGGGCTGATGAATGGGCCTTCGGCGTGGGCACCTAGGGATTCGGCGCCATCTTGTGGCTGGTGTTTGCCTGCGGTTGGTCCGAGGGAGGGGAGGACCTGGAGGAAGGTAGGTTTAGTCGGTAATTCGAGTCTGGTTGTTCGGGTTTGGGCTGGGGCTGGCTTACCTTCCAGTATACCTCGGGGGTGGAGCTAACGACTGTTGGCAGGTAGGAGGTGACACCGGTACGGGCGAGGCCGCGGTTCACCATGCGTAGACCCTCATCATATTCCTCCTTTGTATCACATGGAACAGAGAAATCGAAGCCGTGGGCACCGTTGAGTTGGACGTCAATCATGCCCGGGGCCACGATGCGGCCACCGAGATCAATGATCTCATCTGGAGACAGGTGCAACTCATAGAAGGCCTCTTGATCCTTGAGGATCTTTCCGGTCAGGGAGTCAATCCAGAGATCTTGTTCCACCAGACTCGAACCGCGCACCAAGCGGCAGTTGGTGAACTTGGTAATACGGGGAGTGGAGGTAGTCTTGCCCGGCATGATATCGGTGTGTATCAAGATCAAGTTCAAAGAGAGAGATAGGGAAAACAAGACATATAAAGAAGCCAAGCAAGTACCGCAAGCACAATGATGTAACAGTGTAGTGACATTCGGCATGCCGATGTGGTATACTCCCCCGTGCCTGTATTGGTATTGTACTGGTAATTTAGTCCCCGCATGCAACTCTCCGCATGCGGGTCCAATGCGACCGGCAGAGTCGCATTGCAAGTGGAACTTCCTTTCTTCTCTTCGTCTCTCTTGTTTGCCCAGACGAGAGTACCACTGGATGTCACTGGATGTCATTATTCATCTTGACTCTCAATGACTCTCTCTTCTTCTTTCTACGCGTCGTGGTTCGCTCCATCTCCTGTCTTTACTCTAGACGGCTCCATCTTCACCCTATCTCCCCCCGCAACCCCATGGAACTGATCGGCTCAATAGTGTCGCATCGAATAATTATGGAGTCTTGACTTGATAAGACTATCGTGTGACTCGGCTATTACTATTATCTTCGGTTTTCTCTTAAAAAAAACTTCAATGCCCTTCTTGACTTGACTTCATTATCTCATTTTCTCCATTCTTCTAAAATTTTCACGTGGAACATTCCACCCCTTGTTCCCTTGTTATTCCCTTCCTCACCCCTGTAGATCTGTTCCTGTTCCTTCAACCATGGCGAAGGAGCAGAAGCAGGAGATGTCGACAGAGCAGTATGATTCTGCGAGGGCTCCGGATCCCGAGTCTGGCGTGGATCAGGCCGTGCTAGGGCCGGCGTGGATGTACAAGCCAATCTTCAAACTCGGCAAATGGGAGGCCCCGTACTTTGCTTCACCGGAGTTCCAGCTATATCTGGTATCATTTGTCTGCTTCCTGTGTCCGGGCATGTTCAATGCCGTCAGTGGTCTCGGTGGTGGTGGCCAGGTGAACGCGACCGATGTGAACAACTCCAATACAGCTCTATACAGTACCTTTGCGGTCGTGGGCTTCTTCGCTGGTTCAATTGCCAATCGGATCGGTCTGCGGTTAACCCTCTCCATGGGTGGTTTGGGGTACTTCCTTTACGTGGCCTCGCTCCTCTCCTACAATATCAATCAGAATGCCGGCTTCCTGATCTTCGCCGGGGCTTTCCTCGGTGTCTGTGCGGGTCTCCTGTGGTGTGCACAGGGTGCGGTGATGCTGAGTTATCCACAAGAGCATGAGAAGGGCAAGTATATTGCTGTGTTCTGGGTCATCTTCAACCTGGGCGGTGTCATTGGCAGCTTGGTACGTTCAATTGATCGGTCTATCCCACAATGTACTGATGATAGTAGGTTCCCCTCGGCCAAAACATGCACTCCACAGCCGGCAGCGTCAACAATGGCACCTACATTGCCTTCCTGGTCCTCATGGCCATCGGCTTCGTTCTCTGCTGGTGTCTCGCCGACTGTAAGCATATCAAGCGTAAGGATGGGTCGCGTGTGATTGTAATCAAGAATCCCACCTGGAAGTCCGAGATCGTGGGGCTGTGGGAGACTCTGATCAACGACTCATACATTATTCTAATGTTCCCCATGTTCCTGGCCAGTAACTGGTTTTACGGATATCACTTCAACTCCGTCAACTTGGCCTACTTCAATGTCCGCACCCGGGCCCTGAACAGTCTTCTCTACTGGCTCATGCAGATGGTTGGTGCCTTCATCTTCGGTCAGCTGCTGGATTTGAAGTGTCTCTCGCGTCCCTGGCGTGCAAAGCTCAACTTTGGTATCCTGCTGGCTGTCACTATGGGTATCTGGGGTGGTGGATACGCCTTCCAGAAGCAGTACACTCGCGAGAGCGGTGCTATCGATACCGATTTCACTGACAGCGGCTATATCGGACCTATGTTCTTGTACATGTTCTACGGATTCTACGATGCTGCTTTCCAGACCTGTACCTACTGGTACATGGGATCTCTTTCCAACAACGCCCGCAAGTTGGCCAACTTTGCTGGTTTCTACAAGGGTATCCAGTCTGCCGGTGCTGCCGGCATGTGGAGGTAAATAATCTTCTTCTCTTGTATTGATCCCAAACTAACATCTCCCAGCATGGATGCAAAGAAAACTGCTTATATGACTGAATTCGCCTCTTGCTGGGGTCTGCTCGTCGGCAGTATGTTGTTCGCGTCGCCTGTAATCTTCTTCAAAATCAAGGATAGCACCGCTGTCGAGGATGACCTGCGGTTCTCCGACGAAACAGCCGCCGACGTCCTCGGCGCGTCCAATGAACTATCCGAGTTTGAAAAGCCCCAGACAGAGACACACACCCCAACCGAGACTCTCCGCGATTCCAACGACGAGCCTACCCCAAAAGCCTGATGGGAGCAATCCCTATGTACCACCAACGGTCACTTGGATTTATACCCCTTTGTACTCTCGCCTTGGGTGTAACAATATCTGCATTTACGAGGCGTGCCGTTTTTATGCTTGCGGGATTCCTAGCCCATGAGTTGGCAATCGTGTTCAATGTCAATCGCTTTCTTTTACGAATTCTTGTACATTATTTTGGCAATTGTCCTCTAGGGCCGGGCGATCAATTCGGGATTTGCTGTGGCTACTATAGTTCTGGTGATTTCGTTGCCAGGTATTTGAGTTGAGTAATGTAACTATAATTGACCTTGCAATCAGGTTTTATACATTCCAACGATATCATGTCTCAGAATTATATCGTGCAATGTATGAATATATATCACAAATATCCGACATATGCTTGGGATCTTCGACTTAGGCCTTTAAAACAACTCAGCCTTCGTAGCAGAAGGCAAAGGAACCGACGACTGCGTATGAGTAGCCCTAGCAGACCCCTCAGACCCAAACCCAGCCGTGAGCTTCTTCTCCCCGTCCGGCAACTCCCACCCAAACAAAGTCCGATTAAACAACTGCAACGAAGCAACAGGCTGATAATAAGGAACCTCATGCCCAGCTTCATAAACCCGCGTAAACGAAAAATTCCCGTATTCCCGGGTCTCACCATACTCAACACCCCCAACACGGAAAGGCGCATAACCAGCCTTCGCAAACTGCGCACTATGCTCGTACTTCGTGGCCAGCGAAACGGCCTCCCCACCAAACCAGTTACAGATGTAATCGGCGTCGCCATAGATAAGCGCGACGCGGACGGGGCGGGAGAGGATATCTTCTAGATCTTCGAGGAAATTGGGCCAGACGAAATCGCCTTTTTGTTGGAAGGCGAAGTAGACTTCGTTGTTGGATTGCGTGTAGTTCACGTCGACACCTAGGGCGTTCATTACACTGTCTTTTGCCAGGTAGTTGCTGTAGTAGCCTTCTGGGGTTGGGTCAGCGTATGGATGGCGGATGTCGTAGACGCCTCGCTCGCCAAACGCGTAGTAAGGGCCCTCTATGGCTGGTTAGTATTTATCTATATGTGGTTTGGGGTATACGTACCGACATTGTCGCGGCACATGTTGGTTGCTTCGGTGCAGATGGCAAAGTCGGCTAGGGAAGTGCGGTTTGTCAGTTTGCAGGATTGGACTTGGTCCTGGCAGCCGTTTGGCATTTCGTTGGCGAATTTCATGTAGTTGTAGACTGTGTCGTTGACCTGTATTCGGATTAGTTTCTATGTATTAGAAGAATGGTGGCAGGACTCACAGCCTTGATGCCGTAGGTGTTGTTCACGGCGAATTCGGGGTAGTGACGGGCTTGGATTCCTTCGTCGATGATTCCGTTTATAATGCCGAGGGTGTTGAATTCAAGTTGGATGCCTTTGTGAGTGCCGTTGGCGATCTTCTCGTTCTCTTTGTAGAAGTGGTCGAAGAACTGCGATTGTTAGATAGAGAAGAGAAGGGATAGTTGATTGACTTACTGCAGGGCCGTAGTGTCTAAAAGAGGTCAGTCGATGTCTTATATATTCAAAGTTGAAGGGGAAACTCACCCTCCATAACTTTCAGTCCACAGGTTGAAACTCTTCGACTTGATCTTCGAGTCCAGCTTGGGGAGAGCACCCAGGAATCCCTGCAAGACCTCCCAGGTAGCTTTGGCAGCGAGATTGGTTGTATCAATCTTGGTGGCATTAATGACTGGATACCGACCATCAACGCCCGCAAAGTCTGCATCTTCGAATACACCTGTAATAGGGTTAAGTGTACCAGGCGCCTTTTCGGCATATGAGAAGCCTGCGGAGTATCAGCCAGGCCTTCGCAGAGAAAAGAAACAAGTTGAAGCATACCAACACCCAGCGGCTGAGACAGGAAAAGCATATTCGAAACCTCATTCCACGAATGAGGGTTAATCTCAGATTCATTGTCCTTGTTAATGCGACAAGGTCCTAATTCCTCAAACAACCCAATCAGAGAATCGCTTCCGGGACCACCATTGAGCCACAACGTAATCGGTGCATTTTTAGGATCATGGCGCGCCTCGAAGAACCAAAAGAAAGTATGCTCTGTAGGCGAGAGGTCGACATAACCGGCATAGGATTTGACACCGGGAGTCGTCTCACAAACACCCTCCTTGCCAGGCTCCTTGTAGCGAATCGTAACGTTATTGGCTGTTTTAATTGTCTTAACACCAGTAGGCTCCAGGGGTAATTGGCGACGATTAATAGCGTCAAGGATAGCATTGTGCGGCACGGCCGCCACAAGAGGCAGCAACAATGGGATCCAGGGCGAGACACGCATTATTGGGCGATGATCCGTCTATATGGGAATCGCTAAACAAGCATTCACCTGGAGAATACATAGGGACTAAGCGGGGGTACTTATAGCACTCCCAGGGGGTAGGGGAAAGTGATCAATCTGCATTGGAGTAAACAAACTAGATAGCCGGCTGTATGCGACTCGGCTGTACGCAATCGGCGCCCAAAATTTCCTCAGATGGTAGGATTGCTGAAGTGTAAACAGGGGGCCTAACGTTAACGAGCTATCTCCGTGGGAGCTCCGGGGAAGGTAGCATCATACGAGTGGGGATAGTCTCAACTAAGTCGGCAGTGGCTGGCCAAGGCTCGCGGGGCGTCGAGAGTTGGGCTGATTGTCTTTGGGCTTGGGGGCTGGGTGAGGGGAAGATCGACACTAGATGCTGCATGCCAAGAGGTGTAGGCTTCAATGTTTGCATGGTTATTGCCTGCTTGCCAGGCTATCAGAAACAGGAATTCAGAGACGTGAGACAGAACGTGCGAAGTATGCGATAAGCATGCAATATATTGTGCTTGTGGCGTCGGCCCTAACCCTATCCAGCAACACTCACGGCCAGGGGAAAGTACCATATGTACCCTGTCTGCCATAAAGAATCTGAAACCCCCACTAGAATCAATATAATAAATAGCACCGGTCTTCTCATGTCCAGTCCAAGCATCCGCATGCATAAAAGCATCATTCCAGGGAAACCGATTCCGACTCCCCTGACAATTATACAAACTGTTAATGATAACTTGATTGCTAATCAGACTGGCACCCCGAACAACAGCATAGATATTGATACTGGAGCCACTGATAGGCGTGGTAGGACTGACACTCAAGGCGCCAGGGTACAGACTGAGAGAGCCTGGGAGGAGGATGTAACTCCCAGTACCCTCATAACTGATGAATACGCGCCACCCGCTATCGCAGGTATACGGTAAGGACAAACTGGAAGTTTGACCGTACCAGGTATCGTTTGATGGGAATCGGTTGGTGAATGGACCGAAGAGGGAGTCGGTTATCGATGACAATGTCGTTGCTAGAGTAGAGGTTTGCTTGAGCTACAGTGGTTTGGTCGGTGTCGCCTATGCTGAACTTCTTAATTGTGAGTGCTGTGCATTGTGGAGTAGCTGTGGCAACTGGTTGGGTGGAACTGGTGACAATAACTGTGCTAATCGAAGTTGCAGTCACGGTGGTAGTATAAACCGTGACGGGCTGACAGGAATCGCGTGGCTGGATCAACGCAGGGTTGTCTTCGTTCACGGGCAGTGCATTTGCTAGCCCTGCTAGGGTGGCAAGTGTGAGTATAAAGAGTCGGACCATGCAAAAGGAAAGAGATAGCTCTGTATCAGGGTAATGAGAGAGCTGAAGGATGAACAATGGTTTAGGCATTGGAGGGAATAGCAAGTATTTATCTTTGAAGTACAAACCTGTTGGAGTCAGTATTCCATGCCTCGTGAATATGGGATTAGCTGTGCTATTGCAATGGATGAATGAGTCGATATGTACGAAGATATGAGAACACTGATGTATAGTTCGAGTCAGAATGGACTCAAGGTTATAATAGGCGATGTCTGACTTATTCCGATCTGACAAAGCTGCAGGGCAGACATGGCTAGTTGAAGCCAAGCATCAACATTGATATAGTTTGTATTGTAGCCTTGGATGACTGTTGGATTGGAAGGGAGCATGTCTCAAGGCCCAATATGGCACAGGATAATGGTGCCACAAAGTAGCTCCCATATAGGCTAGATTGATAGAATAAACACCAGACAATGGCAAGCATGGACTAGCATGGACTAGCATGGATGTCTCCCCCTCCTTACCTATTCGGGCAGTGACAGGGAGTGATGGATACGCGACTCGTGCATTAGGCTCGGGAAGACCGAGAACATTCTCTCGGAAAGAAGTGAACTTTGTTTCCACCAAAAGGTACATATCTGATCCTTGCAATTGAAGGAACTGTGGACTAAGTTGCTCTACTTTGTCTCTACGAACTATAAGAATGGGTATGATCAACCTTCGGCCCAAAGCCGAGAGGATGTCACGGAATTTCCGAGAGGGGCATTCCGCTTTTCATATAAGCGTACTAAGCGGAATCACATTGTTTGCCCTGACGCTAGTGGAGATGAGTCTATCGTTCGGCGCCACACGCGTTGAGGGGAAGTATAGGCCGATTATTGGCCTCAGGCAGAAATTGGATACATCTAATTTATCAGTTAACTTTACTTATCAGTTAGCATAACTTATACATAAACACCATAGTAATGGCATTGTCAAATAGTCTCACAGTAGTCGAGAATTAGACTGTGATGGACTACCAGATATGCCGATCTCGCCATATAGGGATGTCAAGTGCAGGTACGCGGGCTAGAACCGCATATCATTGCCTACTGTAACCCCCCAATCTTTTTTTTAGAAACCCGAGAGGCCCAGGAGTTCCACGATAAAGTTAAGCATCTCAAAAATGGTCTAGAAGGGAATCTCGGCATTTGTCTAACTTATAAGAGGAGGTGCTTACTACAGAAGGGGTAACTTACTATTTGTCAACCCACCAGGGCCTCCCATTAACTTGTACAGCGACATACTAACCATGTAATACTTGCAGAAGTTATAGATGTAAGGGCTTAGTAACCTCTGACGTACATGCAAGGCGGACATAACGCCTCTTAACGTGTCTTATTTTATTATGATTTCTGTTTCATGCGGAACAACACATAACCCGTCGAGTCAGTCAAAGGTCTCAGACCCAGGGATCGTCCAGCCTTTGGCACGCGGGATCGGCTTCATTTCCACCTTCGCGTGAGGCGATTCTATGATTTGTCGATTTGGCCCAGGTGGGAAATGTGCCAACAAAGACAACCCCTGTCTCCACCGCGTAATCAAAGTCCGACCCGTCAAATCTCAGGGAAAATGAAAGGAAATTGTATGTAAAATTAACGGGAAAAAGTTAGTAGCTGCCTCTCATGGCATAATCCCCGATATTAGCTGTTCTTTGTTCTAGCCCATAAGATCTGAAAACCCTCTCCCTCGTGTTTCACCCCAGATAGTTCTCGATTTTTATTGTGTCAAAACCCGAGGGGTGCGTTGGTTCGGTCCACATGGCCCCAGTGTCTTCTCCTTCACATCTTACAAACCACCCGATTTAACCTAACCTTGCATTGCCAGCCTTCTTTTTGCTTCACCATGTCCCAAGCCTCTTTAGGCTGGCTCCGATTGTGATATTGTAATTGACCATCCCTACGGATGCGAGCATGATATTCGCCTAACGGTGACCTTTGCGACTCGAAGTCTGGTTCTTATATCTGCGCCATCCCCCGGATATTGTTTATACCTGGAACAGCGCCATCTACCATGGCTTCGCCTGAGATTCCTGTTCATGCACGTCATGCACCTCATAGTGCAAGTGAAAAGAAGCGTCCGGAGTCATCACTGCCCCCGGTCATCGAGGACGAGTCCAGTCCGTATCCATCCCATCCGATTGTCCAGCTTCAAGGCCCATTTGAAGAATCAATTGTGGAGACGACCAACGACTCAGCAAAGGAATGGGTAGTTCAGATTGACGCGCAGACACGACGGCGCGATCTATTGGAAAGCGACGAGTATGAGCGTCTCTGTGGGAGGAAGTGGCGCCAAAGGTCCTCGGAAAGGTTGGAAGCCAACTGTACTTGACTGAGCCGGAGCTAACTCGTCTAGATATCATCCATTTTGGAAACTGATCTCCCAAATGGTATTTGGAGTCCATCTGCTAGGCAAGAGACTGGCCAAATCGGACGTTTCTGTTATGAAAATTCTCCAGACCCACGTCGATGAGCTAGACGGCTTTTTGCAAAGGACCACTGAAGACTTTTTGATCATCCGATTAGATGTTCGCACCCGCATTCAGTATCTCAGTCTGCCTCTAGGGAATCTAGAGGTCTTTGATGAAATGCTCCAAGATCGGGGCTTCCGACTATCGGTTGTGTCTTATAATGACCAGATCGAACATTCCATCCACAGATTCACTCTGGCTATGACAGATACCCTCAAAGATCTCCAAAAAGCAAAGGAGGCGATGGGTGCGCTCTGGTTCTACTTCCGAGAGCTTGCGGACGAAGGCTGTTTTGAGATCGACAGCCTCAACGCCTTCCGTCAGGCCATGATGGAAAACATGGAGGGTTGGATTGTTGCTATTTCAAAGCTTCGTAGACGAGGTGCCGCTCTTCAGAAGGCTCTGTGTCAATTGGGTCTCGCAACTACTGAAATGCAACGCCGCGTGGGTGTAGCGAGTAGAAAGGATGTGGTGAGTTGCCAAGCTTCTTAAGTGTCATCTTCCGTACTGACTGGAACAGCGATCATTCGTTCAACAAACTAAGAAGACCGCAAGACGAAGCAAGTCAGTCAGGCAGAGACTCTTTGAAAAAGAACCGTCCATTCCGGAGAAGCCTCTCCCTCGCGATCCATTATCAAAACCAAACCGAACAACTTCCAAGAGTCCATCAGCCACACCTCAAGAGCAACCCAAGACTCCCGCAGATCCAACCCACCAAAGCGATGGTCTACGACGCAAGATCCTCAGTCGGGCGAAATCATGCAGTGCCATTGTAGGAGAAACCAGCGCCGGCGCTGGCAACGAACCACCACCTCTTCCATCAACACCTTCAACACCTGGACTACTCAAGCGAAAGCTGTCCAAACCATTCTTACCCAAACGATCCGCCAGTGAAAAGATCAATCTCAACCAAACCCGACCTAAGACAGCACCTTCACAGCCATCAAGGCCGTCACGCGCTATTTCAATAGAACAACTACGAGCATTCTGCACAACGCCACGGCCAGGAACTCGACAATCCATGGTCAAGTCGCCCACGCAAGCTCGACAAGAGACCCACAATAAGCTCACTAACGGCCGGGAGAGCATGAAAGACCAGCTCTCCCAATTCCTCAAAAGCGACCGCGTGGTCGAAACCTGGGATAACGTCTCCAAGAACGCGTCATGCTGTGCCCGACCACTCGCAAAGACCAAGGAATGGCCCAGCAGCATCTTCCGCACTAAATCGTCTACTACTTTACAAAACCAAGGCCAAAATGACCTCTCCGGGCCAGACCTGGAAAGGCAGATGTCGTGGGTAGAGGAGACGTTCGATGTCCTGCCTACCTACTCATTCAAGCCGAAGCCCGACATTTCGCCTCGGATCCACGTCCTGTCAGTGCAGATGACCCTGGAAGAGGAAGCCAATGTGACCTCTGGCCGAGAGGCGAGTTTGGACATGAGGAGTGAGACTGGTTCGATCACGGCGCTACCGGCTGTGCCGGCTCCGCCGGTTTCAAGGCCATCGGTACGTAACTCGTGACATTTTAGGTGAATTAATTACTGATATTTGAGATCAATTTGTAGCATCGATCAAGGCTGGTTGATTGCGAGGCTTGAACAGTTCTATACCCAAAGTATAGTACATCACCACTTGAGCCTCGGGACGGGAATTCGGAGGCAAATCTTTTATACAACTTATAACTATAACTACATAAACTAGAATAACTATTCGCTTCATATGCACAGCCCAGTTTGCCTCAGCCCTGCGCCCCCAGTGCAGATCATTGGACAGTGGAATACTGCGCCACGCGCTGCGCGTACAATACTTAGACGCTGACTACGGAGTACTTAGCGCTGTGTTCCCTCTCTTTTAGTAACAAATTTGCTATAATCTGCTATTCTTCAGTTTCGTGATTTCTATAAAGTACCGGATACTTAATTCGATACCCGAGCTGTGAGACGCGCCAGGTCACAGGTACCTCGGAACCTTTCAACTGCAGCCTAGTGCCAAGGACCCACCGCCCCAGCCCCTACGATTACGTCGAACATCTCAGCCCTGGGACATTTTATTCTCTTGACTCCCTGTTTCTCTCTTCGATCCCCTCCTCATGGCTGTCATTTACCCCCGAGACACCTGGTAAGTAGTCGGATACATACTCTGCCAGCATATGCTAACAATCATCCAGCTACGGTTATAATGGCTGCTATTCCACCTGGGACTCCTGGGGCCGCTGGGTAGCATTTGCAGTCATCGTCGGTGTTGCATTCCTTCTCTTCTTCAGTTTCGCGTGAGTCTCACCTGGCTACCTCTGGACCATGCGCCATGCGCGAACTCGAGAACTAACAAGGTCCAGATGCTTCAATGCACGTCGCCGCAGAACTCATGGCCAGCGCCCTATAACCGGCACAGGGTGGATGGCTCCTCCCCCGGGACCTCCTCCGCCAAACCAGCCCATCTACCAGCCACCCTACGGCGACCCCTACTACCAACACAATTCGCCTCCACAATACAGCGCGAACCCCCAGAACTACGGCTACTTTGGCGCTCAGAACGGACCACCACAAGAGCATGGAATCGAGATGCAGCCTCCACCACATGCGTACAATGCTGGCCAACAGCCCTACCCGCCCCCTCCTGGCCCGCCCCCAAATGCGAGCAAGGTCTAGATGCTAGGCATTGATCCAAAATCCTTAATGGACATGGCTTGAAGCCTGATTTGCATTTCCTCGAGTGCACTGGAACCTAATGTTTTACGGCGTTTTCAACCGGATGGTGCGATGCATGGACTTTTTCTTTGATACGAACGGATACCCACATGGGTGGATTCCTTTTTACTTTTTACTTTATTGCTCTCTCAGTTCTGATCCCAGATCGAAAGACACACAGCTGGGCTCGGGGACAATGGGTCTCGACTTAAATAGTTCTGTGTTCTCGTACATTGTTCACATCTCTATCTCTAATGACACATCTTGAACGGCCAGATGGTCCTGAATAAAATACACTAATTTAGGCCGTTTTTTTTTTCAGAGTAGATTGGTCCTGGATCTGGACGTCAATTATTGTGCAGGGGCATGAGATGATACGCAGTTGCAAACGCAATAATGGTGCATAGTATGCATAGTAAAATCACCTATGAAACACCCACCATCAATTATACTCGTCGCGAACTTCCTCCAAACGCGAACTACTCGGATTGATATAGTGGATTCATGCCTGGGGCACCCTACCTCCGCCCTATATCGCGTTCCGCCTTACAATTTCCTCCAACAACCTCCCCATGGACATTGACGACATTCTCGCCTCGGTCGATCGCGGCCCAGGCGCCAGCCGAGAGTCAGCAGCGCTGGACCACCAGCTCCTGACGCGCTTCTGGGTCGCCGAACGCGCCGTCTCGGAGGTTCTACCCTGGCCCGCACCACTGATGGAGCGCATGATGGACCGAGTGCGGATGCAGGTAAAGCCCAACCCGGCGCAAGCAATCTAACAAGACCACGACTGACAAATCCATCCTCTTAGATCGAAACAATCGAAGATCTCGCCGCCTCATCAGGCGACACAGACCTCCAAAAAACAACCAACACCCACAACCCGAACCTCAACCTCCGCCTCTCAATCCTCCAAACCGACCTCGCACGCACACAATACATAATCCGCAGTCTGCTGCGCGCACGACTAGCCAAGATAACGAAATATAGCATGCACTACCTAGTCCACCTAGCCTCGCGCAACAAAACCCCCTCTCCCAAACACAATCTACAAATATTTCGTCCCAAAACCCCAATCAGCAACCGGAAGACTCCATCCCTGATATATCCTCGTCAGACGATCTAACGCCGCTTTCGGAGCCAGAGGCTGCATTCTTGCATTCGCATCAGACTCTGTTGGCGGGCCACTATGCGGGGTCGTTTATGGGTGCGTTCCCGCGGCAGTTGAGGCGGTTGGATGATAATGCCGGCGGAACGAGTATGATCCAGGGACCGGAGTTGCGGGAGGTTGTTTTTGTGCGATGTTTGGGGGTTGAGGTTCCTGTTGTTGTTGGGGGTGAGGAGGATGGCGGTGACTTTGGGGTTACGATGCGCATGGGGGATGTTTGGGTTGTTAGGTGGGAAGGGGTTAAGGCTGCTTGGGGGAAAGGAGAGGTTGAATTGTTGTGATTTGGGTGATTCTTTTTGGATAAGGTAGCGGCATTCTTCTTGCACTTGGGCTGGCGTTGTCTGTTTTCTGTTTTATGGGTTATATACTCGGGTTGTGGTCTACGGTGCTTAGATCAAAAGGATATCTTATGTTCTTATTCGAATCTCAGTTGGAATGTTACTGAGACCTATGCATGTCTGGAGTGGCCAGGTCCATTTTTATACTTGCAAGCTAATAGCAAAAAAACCAAGTACATGATATGATGTTTTGCATGGCCATTGCATTCCATTTCACCCTTCCCCTTTTGAGACGCCAGTCGCTAAACCCAGATAAAGACACAAAGAACCCCGGACGCAACCGCCGATATGCTGAGAACTGGACCATAAGATCATGAGAGCATGAAGCAAGTGACCAAAGCCATTGCCATTGAGACCGATCTTACGCAATATACCCATATGTGGGCGGCTCCTCAGAGATGCGCTCCAAGTATTCACGATCAATCAGACTCTCAATGCGACGCTTGATCATGTGAACATCCGGGATGAAACGAGAAGACAACTGGGATAGGACCTCGGTCATTAATTGATGATGGATGAGATTCTTGCGTTGCCTAGGAAATGTTAGTGTATACCATATGGGAGAAAATTAAAAAGCAACATACTTCATGATACGGACGATAGCAGCCTCAATGCTACCGCCGCGCTCCTCGCTCATCTTCTGCTCAGTTTCCTTGCGCTGGTCCGTATTCTCAACCTTGTTAGCACCACCGCTGACGACACCAATACGCACTTTCACGAATGGGCTGTGGAATTCGTGGTTGAAGAAGAAGCGGTCTGTGGGTTGGACATTCTTGCTCATTGGATCCTTTTTCAAGACTCGTGTCTTTGGAGCAACGGCCAGCGATTGCAGGTTTCGAATTAGGTCGTGGTCTGGAATCTGGGTGCGGATTTGGATGTCTTCGTATGTGAGCGGCTCGCCATCTGGTGTGTCGTTGAAGAGCATGAGGATGACCATGGCGTAAGTTGAAACGTTAAGCTCATAGCGCTGGACCTTGCCATTAGGGCGTTTGAAGGTCGCTCGGATGTCACCAGTGCCCATGCTAGCCTGCCATGACAGCTTGCGGCCGTTGTGTTTGCCGAGGTAGAAACGCTCGAAACTGTGCATGAGTGCTGAGATTTCCTTCGGATAGATGCAGGGCAGTTGAAGAGTTCCTTCTTTCGTGTTTGCCATGATGTCCATTGGCCACATGTTACTGGTGAGAACGTTGATTTCCAGGTCCACAGGCTTCTGGTCGGGATCACCAGTCTTTGAAATGTGGTCCTTATAATTGGCACTGAGGTCCTCGGATATAGTCATGTCCTTGAACATGGCTTCGATGCGCTGGGTGAACTGATTGCCGACTTCCATCTTCATCTTGGAAATCATCTGTCTCTCTGCATCCATGCTGGCAGCACGCTTCATCAAAAGGCGACGTGACAAATGCTTCTTGTAGTATGTTTCGAAGAGATCTTTGTCTTTAATATACCGCAGCAGCGTGATACCATTGTCCAGGAGAGTATCCACCTCGCTCTCCGTCTTTCCCTTGATGCCCTTCTTCAGGTTCTCGTCAAAGAAAAGGGAAAGGAATTCTGAGCTGCGGCTGTTCATGTTGATGAAGTCTGAGAAGCTGCCCATGATCGAACTCTCAAGACCCTGGTCAGACATGAACGCCTTTTCCCAAACATCGTCGAATTTCCGTTTGAGGGCCAGGATTTCGTCCACCCAGCGAATAGCAGACAACGTTTGCTGATTCAAGGGCTTCTGCTTTTCTGCTGACTTCTCCTTTTTATCGTTCTTTTCGTCCTTTTTGACAGAAGGGGCTGGAGTTTCGGGAGGGGGAGGCTTTGACGATGTATTAATATCCTTGCCCATTTCCACGATCCTCTTGTTGACCGCGATGGCCAGGGCTTCCTTTTTGCTGTCAACTCTGGCATTTAGCGAGTAAACGTCGCGCAATGCATCGAGCTGATTGTGGTCGAGCATGTGTCGTACACCAGTTCCTTCAAGATTGACGAATTCTGAGATGTTGGTGCGAATCAAGTGTTCATCGAGCAGTTCGAGGATTTTCGGCTGTGTCAAAACCGCCAGGGTATATTGGCATCGCTCCTGCTCTTCGGCAATGCGCTGTATAGCGATTCGGCAGAAAGTGGCAGCATCTCCGATTTCCAACAGTCGGCGCCCTTCGGCCTGATAGAAATCCTTGCTTGTATTCAGGAAGGCTGGTTCGAAGATTGTGAGGTAAAGCTTTGTGCTCTCTTCCTCTGTGATGGTCTCGTAGAGGCCCTCCATCATTTGGATGCAGTGTCGGATTAACGGACGCTCAATGATATGACCAGAGCGTTCTAGTTGGATCATGAACAAAACCGTTGATTCCAGAATGTCAACAACTGTTAGGTCAGACTCGGGGCGGACGGGGGATCGAAGGATATGGTCACGGAAGAGTGCCATGCAGACGACATAAATCGAAGGCTTGGTGTGAGAGGCCAAGATCATGCGGTCCTGCGCAAGATATCAGACCAATTCCCAAAGTAAACCCCAACCCAAATACTTCTACTTACCATGTACATCAAAACATCCGTAACCATGCCCATGCATAGTTGATGGTCCTCCCAAGCATCCTTGAGGGCGGCCAAGAACTTCTCGCCCGCCTCCCTCCTCTCATTGGACTGGTCCAGCGCATCAGGTGAATTGTGTGTTCGAACGAGAATAGAAGAAATTGAACCTGTAATGAGCTGCTGAACATTGTTCTGCAGCCATTGCTGTTCCAGCTCTTTGACACGGTCGTGGAGTTCTTCACCCCGCATCATCAAGGCGATCTTGTATGCATGGCGGTAGAGCTCTTCGAAGGCCAGTGTTGAGGCATTTTTCGTATTTATTTCGGTCAATGACGCCGAGAGAACGGACCAGATCATATCGAAAGATTCAGGCTTCGCTGCTGAGGTACCCTAGAGTGATCTATAGTCAGTGGAGAGCTTCAACTTTGTCCTCACGTTCACTTACCCCCCTTCGCGGAGCTCTGATCTTGTGTCGAGCTCTCATTGCCATTTTCCGGGCTTTCAAAGTAATAAAAAGAAAAGAATGACGGATATGAAGCAGTCAAAATTTGACGACGAGATGCGCTGGAGAACAACTCTCCGCGGAGGCCGGCTCCGGGGTAACTATTACCCGGGCTTATCAATAATTCTTATCAGCAACGGCCCGGGATAACCAATCATCCGGACTTTTTTAGGCATCGTCATCACCGTTCTCCGAGTCTTTCAATCTTTGTCTGTCTTTGAACTACCACACCACGATTTATCTCCGGCTCACTATCTCAACTCAATATTAGCTTCAATATCTCAGCCCCACCATCGCAATGCGCCCTTTTACATCGGGCCTCCGCCCATTGAACACTGTTGTGTCGCAAGCTCAATCATACACCTCCATCGCGCGCACACCCTCATCGCGCTTCCTGTCAACTCAAATCACTCGCCCGCGCTCTACAATTCCTTCTTCGCTTTCTCCCCCTCAGCGCATCTTGACCCACACCCAATTCCGAGCCAACTCAAGTGCCGCTCGCCCTCTCACTGCAGCACCCCCGAGCCAGACAGACACGGACGCCGAGCGCGCAGCACAGAATGAAGAGCGACGTAAGAACGAAGAAGCATACCGCATTACCTTCACTTGCAAACCTTGCGGTCATCGCTCTGACCACCGCATGTCGAAGCAGGGCTACCACCGGGGAACCGTCTTGATTCAATGCCCTGGGTGCCAATCGCGCCATGTCATGAGTGATCATCTGGGTGTCTTCTTTGATAAAAAGACAACTTTGGAGGATTTGCTCAAAGAGAAGGGTCAGACTTTGACGCATGGCCATACCGACGGTAACCTGGAGTTCTGGGATGATGGATCTGTGAAGAGCTTCAACTCGGATGGCAACAACCAGATTGAGTCTCCGAAGGAAAAGTCTTGATTGTTTTCCAGTGAGATCATATTATACATGGGTGCTTAGAATTGTACGGTGCATAAACGGTGTGGGTTTATTTGGTTGTTTGTCCGTTTGGATGAGCTTGTATATTACAGATGAAAGACGTTGACTCTCCACTCACAGCATGGCAGGACCCAAGCATCGATGAGAACATGTTTAGACTTGAGGTTATGTACATTAGAAAATAAACTACTTGCCTTGGCATTAAAATCTTTTAATCTGCAACAAATTCTTCAGCTGTAGAGCTAACATTAACTCCTACATGATGCTAATGAGTAGCCTAATTCCACCTGATCAGTACAGAAGAATCAAATTGTTCTGAGGTATATACAATGCAAGTATAATAAACCAGTCCACTTAACGCCCACTTTTTAGTATGCCAGTAAAACATTCATGAGACATGCAATATACATGTAAATGCCAAATCTTTTACCACCCGCGTCTCTTACCACGGTGCTCCATGCCCTTCTCACGGCGCTTGTCTCTCTTCCGCTCATTCTTCTTGATCTTCTCGCGTCCGTAACGCTCGGGATCAGCAACAGCATCAATACGACGCTTGACCCGTCGTCCTTCACGACGTTCCTTGATAGCCTCCTGGACCTTAGACATCTGGTCAATGTACTCGGTGGTGCCGAGCTTCTTCTGCAGAAGATCCAAGACCTCGTGGCAGTTGGAGACGAGAGACTTGTATGTGTTCTGGAAGGTCTCATCTGACGAGCGTGGTGCCGGAATGGACGAGTCAGTCAGATGTTGCAAGGGGATGAGGATGACGCGGATGGAGGGCTTAATGTGCTCAGCGTCGATGTGGCGGATGAGCGCGGCGAGGAGGGTGATAGAGGCTGTCTTCGGGGTGAGAGCGTTTGCTCGGTTAGACAGCATTTCACGGCGCAGTAGAGACGAAATTTGCTTGAAGATGTAATGGATGGCAGATCTCGGGGATTCAACAACAGTCTCTTCCTTTGTCTCTCCCTCGGCGTCACTACCAGCGGCATCGTCTTCATCCTCGTCCTCGGATTCCACATCATCGCCTCCCAACTTTGGAAGCTCCAGCCTGTTGTGAGCACAGCAACGGCCTAGGAAGACGAGGTTGCGTACGCTCTGCATGGCCAGATCCTCAGTGATGCCTGGGGTGCGCAGACTGCGCAGACCAGCACGAAGAAGCTGGAGCATGGCAGGCTTGTCAAGAGCGAGACCAGAGCTTCCAACCAGAGGAATCGAAGCGTAGCCTTCGGCAGCATTTGTCTTGGCCAAGTCAGCCATCCACATGCCGACAAGGTTTGCAGCGCAGGTCTTCACCCAGGCGTGGGGGAAGAACAAAGATTCCTGGGTGGCCGCCCAGATGGTGGCACATTCCGGGCTCAGAGCCAGCGAGGAAGCTGTCTTGCAAAGCTTCGTGAAAAGCTGCAGGGCGAAATAGAGAGCCTCCCAGTTGCCGTTCTCATGATCCTCGAGGACAGGCTGCATCAATTCTGGAAGAATGCCAATGACGAAACGAGCCTGCTTATCTTTCTCGGTCTCCTCGGCCTCGAAGTAGATCCGCATCGCCTGCAATCCAATGCTACACAGAGCCATGTTGTCGGTCTGCTCCAACCACGAATGGAGGGGAGTGAGGATTGTCTTCATCTGCTCCCGATCCGCGCGGTTGTAGAACTCTCCCAGTAGGGTACCTGCCAGCTCTCGGCATTCCGGCGACTCATCGTTCGCCATAGCGAGAACAATCGGCAGGAAGAAAGTGCTGATGATATCTTGGGCCAGTTCCTGGCCAGTCTTGGAGAGGAGCATGTGCATAGCCTCCATGACTGACTGTCGTCCAGACTGGTGCTTGTATTCCAGGTTCTTTGCGAAGAAACTGAGCTGTTTGGTCCATCGGTTCTTCGCCTGTGGGTACTCGATCAGGAAATGAACGTAGGTGCCTCGGGCAAGGTCTCGGGCAGAACGAGTCTGGTTCGTCACCATCATGGTCGCGATGTTGTCCATAAGTTCGTACATCTCTGGGACAACGAGCTTCCGGGACATGACTGCTCGAATGAAATTAAATGTCACTCCTTGGCGGTCTGGCTCTTCAATATCGGATGTCAGGCGCTGAAGCAGGTAAGCAAGGTGTCCATCGCGAAGCTTGGTATCTTTGCGTTCACGGAGCATTGAGGATATCAACTTCAGAGAGGCCTGTGCCGCCTCAGAGTTGGTGCTAGGAGACTCCTTGATCAGTTTGACGGCTTCCGTGAAATAGACATTTGCGTTCTCATCGAGTTCAGGTAGAGGGAGCTTGATAATGGTAGATAGCAAGCGGAGAGCCGAGATCTTAACTTCCTCCTGGGCCTGGACAAGCGCATCACCGATGATAGGGATGAACCCCGACAAATTGGCAGCCGTCAACAAGGAATTGAACTTGTTGAGAATCGCACGAAGGACATCAAGCGCGAATCGAGTCAACTTGTAGATGTGAGAAGATGTCGTACCCCGATTCTCGCCTCGCTTGGCTCCTTGCAACCTGACCAAGAACCGTTCCTCGGAACGAGACTTGGGTGCAGGCGCAGCCTCAGGTGGGGCACTGTCCCGGTAAGACTCCTTGATTACTTCGTAGCAGAAGACCAACAAATCGCGGCTCTCAGCACCGGGGTTTCTCAGAAGGCCAATGCCGATTCTTCGCATAAGCTCATCAAGCTTCTTGACAATGGTCGAGTTGAGCTTTTCACGTAGGAGTGCCTGTAGAGGTCGAACCAAGTTTGAGAGCTGGCTGATCGTGGAGTTCTTTGCAAGAAGTTCCATGGAGTCATAGCTTTTGCTACTCTTCACCTCCTGCATCTTGCTAGTGTATCCTTCGGCATCCTTTTCTTGACCGACAGTGCCGAAGGTATCATCCATGACGACCGCAACCAGGTCTGTCAGGCAGTAATCCAAATCACCCTGCTCGAACGCATCTGTGGTGTGCACGAGCATAGAGTGAACAGTAAATGAGAGCACGTGAAGCTGGTAGCCTCGCGCGAGAACATTGCGGAGTTCCTTCAGGATGTAACCGAAGTAGACTGGGCCTAGAAGGAGAGCAATCTCATTGAGCGTTTTGCGTGCTGTGTCACGGGAATCCTGTGCTTTACTCTTGAGGGTGGTGCAAACATCGAGCAGAACGGGCGGTAGACGAATAGCCATGTCCTCCTCCGGGAGGATCTTGAGGAGTTTGACAGTAGTGACCGCAGCAGGCAAACGCAGACTCATTTCTGTCTCTTGCTTGTGGTGAATGAACTTGGTCAAGAAGGGAATGAAGTTCGTAGTCAGTTCGGATGCGACCTTGGTAAGAGATGGAACCGTCTTAGCAAGCGTGCACATAGGGTGTTCGGCAATATCCATCTTGTTAGCACTGTCATCTGTCTCCTCTTGCGGTTCCTTCTTTCGGCTCATTGCGCTGGACAGAGCATCAGACATACGGCCTAGCAGCCTGAGAATGTTCTTCTCTTTTTCGGGCTTGCTTGCCATGTAGCTGCGGTATCTCCGGAAATTGGCACGGAATTGGTTCCAGTCCAACCATTCTGACAGAGCTCCGATAGTCGCAACACCTTCAGCAATCAGGTTATGGGCATTCTCATCAGCAGCATCTTCGAACACGAAGTGCTCAATCAGAGGAATAAAGATAGTGCCCAGGTTTGAGGCCTGGATGCTACCATTGGCTGCATCTGTGGCAAGTCGTCGCAATGCACGCTGCCGGCGGTGCTGCTGGATGTGAAGGATATTGGTGAAGAAAGAGGCTTCTTCATCATCGCCGACCAGAAGGACATGCATATCCTGCACTGACGGTCTGGTAGGGTTCAGCTTAACAAAGTAGCCAATGACGGCGACAACTTCGGAGCGAATAAGCTCGGACTTCTGCCGAATACCATATTGCAAGGAAGGGAAGAGAACATCATTAATAAGAGATTCAAACGCCGCGTCTGGTTCATTGGCCGTCCTGTCGATGAACCGTCTCAAACTGAAAGAAGCGCTGGATCGGATTGCGAGCTCGTCTTCATCCCTGACATAGAAGAGCATGTTGTAAAGGAGAGGTCTCCATTGCTTCGCACTGTAACTGTGGTATTGTTCCTCGTTGACTTTCCGGAAAGCTTGCAGGCGTCGTTCATAATCGGGTTCGAGCCTCCTCGTCGAGCGAGAGTTAAGGTCTGCACACAATTCGGCAACCTCCTTGAGCTCCTCATCGTGGGTTGCAAGAGCAGCGAAGACCCTGGAGAGCACTTCTCTGTTCGCATCATCCTTGAAATAGTCGAACATGGAGCATACTGCCTCAAAAACTTGCTGGCCAAGCTCGGCATCTTCTTTTGTGTTCCACAAGGGTAAGAAGTGCTCGAGAATCTTCAACAAGCCAGATTTGGTTCTGGGGCTTACACGATCTGGGGGTTGACGAAGAAGATAGGTAGTGATGCTGATGAGGCTGGACGTTTCTTGAGAGGATTCAACACAAGGGGCGATGAGAGAAAGCGCGTTTACACCGGAGTAGAGAACAGGCTTGGAGGGGCCTCTCTTGAGAACGCGGCCGATGTGTTGCAGAGCGTGTTCCAGGTAGGGAGAGAGAACCTCCGACTTGATTTGCTCCGCTGGGAAGTCAGGCATCTCTTCATTTTCTTGCAGCTTTTTTCCGGTAGAGATCTCAACCAATGGCACAAGAATCTCATCCAAGACGAAGTTTTTGACCTCGTCGCGTGTTGACTCCACCCCTAGACAATCGATCACCTTGGTCAGAACCTTGTCGTTGTGTTGTACCAAGTAGAATGTCGACCGCGGGAAAGAAGCCCAAGTATGGAACATCCGCAGTAGTCCCGAAACTCCCTGAGCTGTCTCGATGGGGAACTGGTCCAGTCTGCTGTTGATCATCTCGTCGAAGATAATACGGATATAGGGGGTCCAATCACGGTTTGAGGCAATCGAGAAGACCAAATTGAGACAGCGAATACATTCTTGACGGATGTTTTGGAGCACAGCCAAATAGCGCTCATTCGGACGATCGCTGCCTTCGCTGTATAGGGCTCGGCATGCTCGCACCAAACAGTAAATGACCACATTCATGGTTTGGGGTGCGTATGATACCATGCGGGTTTGGAGGGTCTCATAGACGGTATCGATCATCTTAAGCAGACCCAGCTGTCTTCTCGGGCTTGTCAATTCCTGCTCAAAGATACTCGGGTCTTCAATGACGTTTGCATCTGCGAGTGGACCAAAGGCGAGATGCATGAAAAGTCCGAAGTCACGCTCAGAGAGGTGTGAGATGGTTCGTAGAATGGTCTTTCTCCTGCCAACTTGGCCGGCTTGGCCAGAACCACCGGCCTTAGAGATCATTCGACCGTACAGTAGCCGGAGAAGCACAGGAAGGAGAACCTCTCGGTGAGACTCTTCAATCAGACTGTTGTCATTGCCAACGTGCACAAATGCCGCGAGCTCATCTTTGAACCTAGATTCATCTAGAATGTTGAGCAAGTTCTCCTGGTACGGAAGGACATTCTTATCTTTCCAAGTGAACAGAGCCTTGAGCGCAGATTTCTGAAGCTCAGAGTTTCCGTGACACAGCAGTCCCAGGATGGCCTTGTGAACCTCTTCAGTCCTGTACAAGACTCTAGGATTGAGGAACTGCGCGAACAAAGCAAGCATAGACAGTCGATCTTTGAATCCCCAACGAACCTGCTCTTCGCCAGTCTCAGCATCGATCTTCGCCTCGCCAGCTGGAGGGGCGTCATCCTGGTCATCGCGCAATGCCCATGTCAGGAATAGTGGCACGATTTGACGGGAGCGCTTTTCAGCGACTCCCGGGGCCGCGTTCAGGACACGCAGAGCATGGGTTCGTGGACAGGTGGGAAGAACAGCTGCAACGGTGTGGTCCTCGTTGAATTGCTGAGATAGGACGGAGTAGGGATCCTCTGTGCTCTTCATGTTCGCAGCGAGGACCTTTTCGACCTTGGCAACGTTGTAACACTGGAAGTGACTGGCGACATAAGAGCTTTCATTGTCTTCATCTGGGCCATCGGGAGCTTCAGAATCACGCTCATGCAACCACTGGATAGACAAGTCGGATACGATCTTCTCACCCTCGGGATGCTCGCTAATAGATTTCAGTGCCGCAGCAGAGTCATCCCACAAGGGAGCCAACTTCTTTGAGAACAATCCAAAGCAGAAGTAGGGAATCAAGGTGGCCATCCATTTGCGAGACATTATTTGGGGGTAGAGAATGGCGAGTTTTCGGATATGCATGGAGATGGTTCTGACGCTGTCCATGGACAACGGGCTCTCTTCAACTTCGATGGCCAACTCCACGGGAGAAGGGTCATTTTTGGCAACGCGAACAATCAATTGGCGCAATATTTGAAGGGATACCAATCGTAGCCTGTGGGACGGACTAGCCAGGTTGACAATTAGGTCTCGAGCAAAGTCCTCCAGTGTAGAGTGCTCTAGGTCTGCAGACTCCGGCAAGGAAGAGATAAAAGAGAGAGCACCCTCTAGGAAGACAGGCAGGCGGGAGAACTTAGTAGCAGTCGCAATGATCTGTTCCCACAAACTCGAATCAAGCTCTCCGACTTGTTTCGCGAGTTCGACATACGTTTTGAACCCCTGGCCGAGGAAGAATACCAGGCCGTTGGTCTGGCCTTCCTTCCCTTCAGTTGCGCCATCTTGGAGGGCCAACAGAAGGTTAGTGTGCAGCCTGGAAACCATCTTCGAAATCGTAGCAGAGTTTGAAAACAGAGAAATTGCCGATGGAAGCTTCACCAGTGCGTTCAAGAAGGCCTCGTCCTTCGTGGGATACTCCAGCGAGTCATTAACGCGGGATTTGAATGCATCCGGGCAGTAAATATAGCCAGGCTTTGAGCTGTCTGGTGTGATGCAGCCAGTTTGATTCAGGCGAAGCAGGGTGAAACAAGTCTCCCACTCACGGTCTTGCCATGATAAATTGATGAACTTTTGGAGAGGCGAAACAAGCAAGCTTTGGAATCGCTCAGAGCCCCACTCCGAGAATGTTGTACAGAAGAATAAGAAAAATTTTGAGAGCGGACCTGTGGACACCAGGTCCATGATAGAGCGCAGGTACGGGAGCAACTCGTCCATGGGGGAATTTTGCAGGGCATATGTAACGCTTGTAAGGAGGGTTGATATCGTTGCTGACGATACATCGGATGCTGTCACCTGGTGAAGCAGGGATGCCTGGATCTGGTGGACAATCTTCCAATTCTGAATTCTGACACCCTTGCGGGTTGTCACAAGCAAGAACATTAAACGGCAGCACTCCGAAATATTGGAGTTCGGGGTCGACTTTGAGCGCTCCTCGATGTAAGTCTTGACAGTCTCCAGGATAGGGCCGAAGGTATCAGGGGTCGTGTGGTGAATAAGGCTGACAGTCACACCACAGACAACCTCCGCTGGCTCATTATTAGCTTGACTCGGTGGGATCTTAGACAGGATACAATCAAGAATGTCCATTCCGTTGGAGTGAAGTCCGTTGTTGACTCCCCTGATAGCATCGGAGAACATGTTCATCAATCCGTCCCTATAGTTCTCAGTGTCCTTGCCCTCGTCCGCAGTTTTCGATATATCATCGAAAAGATATGAAACGGCGATCTCGAGAGGCGCTTTGTTCTTGTAGTAGACGAGACCGGCCTTGCGAATGAGGAATGACATTGACTCGGCGGCGAACCTCGCCACGAATGGCTTCTGTCGCTCTTTGCCGAGGTATGGAGTCATGATACCGAGCAGTTGTCGCAGATCCGGTACCAACAGACGAGAAAGGAATTTGAAAATCCATGCTAGGCAAGTGAAACTCCACTCGACTACCTCAATATCCGCATGTGTCGCCGCAATGGAGGAAACGAGAGTGACCGCTGTCGCAAAGTGTTTTTCGAACTTGACACCCAAGTCCCGAGCAAATTGCGCAAGCAAGCTCAATAGCGGTTCCAAGGAGTGTTGGTCTCTCTTCTCAATGAACTCCACCAGTAGAGCCATAATCTTCTCTTCATGGTAGACAACCTGGGCAAAGCTTTCGGAAAGAGGGTTGACACGCCGTACGAATTGTGAAAAGTTGTCTGAAAGGTTCATCTCAAACCAATGGTCGAGGGCCGATCGGAAATATGAGGTTGTTTCGTCTTCATCTTCGCCGAAACTGGCGCGGCGCACGCGGTGGATCGGGTCGATTTTGAGCTTCGAGATGCGCGATGAGAAGCCCTCGAACCGATGGGATTTTGTGGTTTCGGTGCCCTTTTTCACCCGGCCAACAGGCCTAGGTTTTGAGCCTGTTCCCACCATCTTGACGGGTCTGAGCAGCACTGTGGGTGGGAAAGGCACTGATCAACTTTTTTGCATCTTATCCGTATCGAATACAAAAAAGTTCATCGGCGCGGGGATTCTTTGTTCCGCCGCGGAATTACCACAGGTCACGTGCTGTGAAGGATGGCCCAAGCTCCCTACGCAGGATGTTCGATCTCGCGAGTTGCTGTGTCTAGTTCATTTAGTTGAGTTGGTGGTGCATGATTTTCCATTTTGGTTGCTTTGGACTTGAATCTACGTAGATATACTTTCCCTGCCACCTCTTTCGTCTTTATTCATCTCACGAGATTCTTCTGAAACCAAACCTCAACCTAACATCGGCCGTCGAAATGGCGTCCAAGGTGTAAGTATATCTGGATTCACGTGTTTACTAGTGGCTAACACAATATACAGTGTTGTAATTGGCAGTGTGAATGGTCAGCTAAGTGCTGTCTTCACCAAACTTGCCAAACTGCAGCCGAAGCAAAATTTCTCTTTTGCGATTATCGTTGGAGACCTCTTCGGTGACTGCTCGACTGAGGCCGAGCTGAATGAGATCACCGGCTTACTACAAGGTAACACGGTTGTTCCATTGCCCACCTACTTTACTGTAGGCAATAGACCACTTCCCACTCGGGTTATTGAAAAGATCCAAGCCGATGATGAAGTGTGTCCCAATTTGTTCTTCCTTGGCAAGCGCGGAACTCTCAAGACCACGGAGGGTGTTCGGATTGTCGCTCTCGGTGGAACCTTTGAAGAGAAAGCAGAACGCGCGCCCGAGAGCAATGCTGTCGGCAAATTCCAGTCGACATACAGCGAAGCTGATGCTCGTGCACTCTTCGGCCTTCACCGTACCGACATCCTAATTACTAACCAGTGGCCAAAGGACGTCAAACTGGGATCTAGTCAGACATTTACTGGGGATGAGAGTGGCGTGCCATCTGAATTGCAGTGCATTGCCGATGTCTGCGGCACCTTGAAGCCTCGATATCACTTTTCTCGCTCGGACACCGGTTTCTTTGAGCGGGAGCCTTTCTTTTACATGCCCACGGAGGAGGGAGATGGATACCAAACTACCCGCTTTATATCGTTGCCGTCATACGGCTCAAGGAAAGATGCACTATACGCTTTCAACCTAGACCCATCGGTGGCACCTCCAATCAGTATCCCCATCGGCTGCACCATCTGTCCTTGGTCAGCCGTACAGAGCAAGCGCAAAGATCTCCCCAGTCAACGCGAATCATACCAGCGCTTTTCCCAGACCGACGGAGAAAGAGACCCGGAGCATAGGCGCCGGCACAAAAAGTCCCGTGCTCCTCCACCAGGCCCAGAGCAGTGCTTCTTCTGCCTCTCAAACCCAAACATCGCCACACAACTCATCACCTCCATTGGAAACGACAGCTACATCACTACGGCCAAGGGACCTCTTCCAAAACCCGACTTCTTCCCATCCCTAGGCTTCCCAGGCCATATGCTCATCATCCCATTCGAACACAGTCCAACAATTGACCTAATCTTCGACCCCAAAACCCGAGCCTCAACGTACACCGAGATGCAAAAATACCGTGAATCCCTGCACCAAATGCTAAACGAGAAATCAGGCGGCAAACTCGGCGCCGTAACCTGGGAAATCAGCCGCTCAGGCGGTATCCACACGCACTGGCAATTTCTCCCAATGCCGGTAGAAAAGATCCGCGGCCGCCTAGTGGAAGCAGCCTTCCAAGCAGAAGCAGCGAACCTCAAATACGAGAAATTCAAGACAATCCCAGGCCCCGACGAAATCGACAATCACGGCATGAACGATTTCTTCCGCGCTTTCATCTGGACACCTTCGCGCAGCGAAGAAGACCCCGGCGAGGGCGAAGGCGAGGGCGATATGTGGTCTAAGCCTGGCCACAAGGGCGTGTACAAGACACCATCGGGCGAAGAGAAGATCACAATGTTGCCCATTCAGCCGCAGAACCGATTCGATCTTCAGTTTGGTCGCCGAGTTATGGGCAAACTTCTTTTGTTAGATGAGCGTCTTGATTGGAGGGATTGTACTCAGACGGAGGATGAGGAGACGAAGGATGCTGAGGCATTCAAGGAGGCGTTTAAGAAGCATGATTTTACCATGGATATGGAGGAGTAAGGCAAGCAAGCAACCTGGTTTGTTAACAATTACGAATGCGGATGTTATAACACTGCTAGGGGGCTTGTGGACAGGTCCTTTCGTAATATACGATGATATATAACGTTAACAAATGAGCGAAGCTTGAAGCTAAGTTGCACAACCGCTTACACGAGAGTGTCAGGCGTATACCTTATTGGTTCTACGACTTTTGGTTGTTTGAAACACTGAGTGAAAGCACAAGGACTATACAGGACTAAGCCGTAGTTCATCAACATCGTTCACTATCTATTCCAGCCCAGCGTCCAATGCTAGAGAATAGTGAGAAACCAGTCCGACAATAGATACACAAGACAGGCCAGCTGAGCATGCAATGTACAATGGAAGAGGTAGTCATGGTAACGTCGGTAAGAGAAACTGGAAATATCACACAAGCTGACAAGGGATCATCCAGACAGCAAGACATCGAAGTTTGAAGAGAAAGAAGAAAGAAAAGAAAACGAAACTTTCATTTCCAAGCGTGTTTCCAGCTTGGAGTGTATGTATGTACGAGGAAAAAGGCATGCAGCCTGAGAATGGTATCAAATAGGAAAGAGAGAGAAACAAACATTGCAAAAGAGGAGAACAGAAGAGAGCCATGCCAGCTTCAGAAGTTATGCGCAGCATTAGGCTTAGGCCCACTCTGCAACAAACTAGGAGGTCTCGTAGTATCCGGCTCAGGAGCCGCCGGTTGTGAAGATATGGCATGGGGGTTATAAGTGGTATACTCGGAAGGCGAAGGAGCAGGGAAAGGAGGCGGCGGGGAAGCCGGCGACGTAGGAGAGAAAGCCCTATACGCAGACGCAGGCTGGGAGGTATAAGTAGGAGGATACTGACTCGAGCCGAACGAGGGCTGGCGGGTAAAGCCAGGAGTGGGGGCGGCGCCTGCGCCGTGGTCCATTTCCGAGGATGGAGTGAAGGACATTGGGACGGGGCTGTAGGTGGTGTGGGGTTTGTAGGCAGCCACTGGGGAGGGGGATGTGACGGCGTGGTATTGGCTACCGTAGGTAGAGTGGTCGTCGTAGGATTGGTCGTAGGGGTTGTGGACTGGGGCACCTACGGGCGAGGTCAGGCCTGGGGAGCGGCGGTTGTAGGGGTCTTGTGCGGCTGCGTATGCTGCTCCTGGGCCTGGGGATCGTCTTGCGTAGGGATCGACTGCGGCGGCAGCGGCAGGGGATGTTACGCCTGGGGAACGTCGTCCGTAAGGGTCTTGCGTGGCGGCCAATGCTGCGGCCGGGCCTGGTGAGCGGCGGCCATATGGATCTTGAGTGGCAGAGAGTGCTGCTGGACCGGGGGATCTTCTGGCGTAGGGATCCATAGGTCCACCGGGGGATGTCACACCTGGAGAACGACGCCCATATGGATCCTGAGTAGCAGCCAATGCGGCCGCTGGGCCGGGGGAGCGTCGCGCATAGGGATCGGTAGGTCCAAAGCCTCTGTACCCTCCACCGGCCATGGCTGGGTTAGGAGAGTAATCAGAGTACGCAACACCGGGAGTCCCAGCGCCCTTCCTGTCCGGAGGATTCAAGGGCTCCATTTCAACGTCATCATGGTGATTCGGGTCTTCGACATGCTTGTTGACGGCACCAGCCCAAGTAGGCATCTCGGGCAAAGCATCATCATTAGCCGTAGCGACCGTGGCGGCAGGAGACTTGGGCGTATCAAAGCGCGCAGTCTGTTGCGCACCGCGGTACGAGGGCGGAGCAGGAGATGCTTGATAGATTGGGTTCGCGTCAGGCGGCGGAGGCTGGTGGAATGGAGGGTCATCGAAGTGCTTTGGTTGCTTCGGCTGCTTGTTTCTACGCCGGCCGGATGGGCAGCAACAGCTACAGCAGCACTTGCAGCATTGGTAGCCACAGCATATGCAATTGACCACACATGCTAATACGGCGAGTAGGATCACGGATCCGACAATGATACCGGCGATAACGGGCCACCTACGCCGATTGATTAGTATAGTGTCAGTTGATGCGCCTGCGCGCATGGAATTGAGGACATTGGCTCCTCGCGATAAACTCACTTGCAATAGGACTTGGCCATACATTTGTCCCAGCTAGAGAATGTTGAGGGCACCGATTCGAGCTCACTGGCAGTGCCTCGGGCCCATAGCGGGACATTTGCGGGACTCATCTTGGCGATAAGATGTTGTAAAGCGCTAGGCTAAAAGCGAGGAATCATTCGATTGTCGAGAGCGATTGTGTAATTATATTCCACAATCCTCCTTCGAATCCCCTCAAAGTGCCTGTTGCAATGCACAGTCCAACAGTTCGAGTCAATGGTGTCGCGGAGATACAGTTGGTGCTCCGCAGGTAAGGAGAGGGCGGGGCGCGCGAAGCCGAGTTTGGCGAAAGGTGCGAAACACAAATGTTGATGATGATGAGCAAAGAAAGGATTGTAAATAGCTGGTTGACCAAGCCCTGGAGATTACCGTTGGAACAGGCAGCAAGGTACGAAAATAGAAGCGGATAATGAATGACTGGGATAACCCAAAGAATGTCAGGGCGCAGGGTCTCAAAACGAACGGGCAGTGCTTGTCTCAGACAGACACCTTAGTTTATGAGAGACACCTTCAAAAAAGAGATGAAGATGGAGAAAAGAAGGAAAAAGCTGAAACGTCAAGGGGAGCCGAGTAAAGGGTTGACAGAGAACCCCATAGTCTCCTCGCCTCCGCCTATCACATTCCCGCGGGAGAGTTGAAACGCCAATCGTCATTAATTGATACATCCACCGTTTGTCGATCTTTTTTTGCAGATATTGAGTTATTACTGTGTCTACTAGAAGAAGAGTGGAATGTATTTTTTCATTCTTTTCACAAAAGGAAATCAAACATTTGTAGCTGGAGTCTCCTCTGATTACCCTTTCCAGACGCATTAAATCTCACAAGGGAAACCTCCAGAGAGAATCTCCCGTAATAAACAGGCGGATCCTCATATGTACAGCTGCAGAGCCACTAATGCATATTACACCAATTTCCTCCTCTTGACCCGAATGACACATTTCAAGGGGGCGATATTAGTAGAGGAAGATGCGTTGAAATACAAATGCTTCATGCAAGGACTTCGTAAAGCGTTTTGTCGGTTAAAGTACCGGAGTCGGACGAGATGCAAGTTGGCGCAGCGAGGAACGGGGGTTGTTCCATGATAACGTCGAAGGCTGTACAGAGAAGGGCCAAATGGTGGATTAAAGGACGATATGGTGTCAAGAGAATGTGCGTTGAGAGAAGGGAATGCCAAAAGCTGACAAATGTTTCGATGTGAATCATCGTGGGGGTATTATTTTCGCTGAAAAGCCCCGTAGTTTGGCGTTGATAGGCCGACGCCTTCATTCGCAAGTTCGAAGTCGCGAGGTCGTAATGTAACATAGGAAAAGTGACACTGGGGTTCGAACGGTTCATGGGGTATCGATTGCCCGAAGTCGGATCGTAGGCAATGGTCATAGAGAGAAGTGACGACAACTTGGTCGTCCACGAAAAGGAAATGATGAGGATAGACCGGTGGTAGTAGATGATCATCCAAGGAGAGGACGATACCAATAGCTGGTATCAAAGAGTTGTGGAAAGGGGGTGGCAAGGCGGAGGATCCAGCGCCATTACCGAAAGAGGTGAGAGAAAGGTTGAGAAGAATCGAAAGAAAAAAAGGCTGGAAAGAAAAAGCCACCGTAAAAGCATCAAACACCACGCTCCAATGACAAGACGGAAAAGACGAAATGCAGAGCGCCATCAAAAGACTGGCGTTTTGTTTAGTATGAAAGCATCCGACGGCCAGGTGTCCGTTGGGGCACAGGGCTTGCGGAGAATGGGGAGCCAAGGAAGCGATCTCGCTGGTTGTCAAAGCGACAACGTCCCGTAGGGCTATCCTCCATTTGGGGGGACTGTTCACCAAAGGCGAAAGTCTGGGCACGGTTCAGCTTGGAGCGCTGCTTGACCTTACCAAGGCCACGCTCACAAGCGAACTCATGCTCTTTATCACTCATTTCCACATAGTTCTGCGGGAAGCAGAACGAGCGGTGCTCGGCGAAGAATGAGCTGTAACCACCATCCAGAATGTACATATCAGGGTACGTTAAGTTGGGGTACGTGTCGACATTAATGGCACGATCCTGGTGACGAAGATACTTGGCCATAATAGGGGCTCGGTGGGCAGAGTACTCGCAGTGCAAGACCAGTGCGGTGCGAGATTTCGGAGCACCGAAGAGCTCACCGGCGAGCTTATCCTTGTCGTTGTAGTTCAGGGCACCATTGATATGGCCACCATCATATTCATATTCGAAGCGGCAGTCGATAACCAGGATATTATCGAAGTGTTCATTGAACTTTCCATCCATGAGCTCCAGGAGAGTGCTCTTTTCGATACGAGGCAATGAGTCCGCACGATCCTCGGGGATGAAGTGAGGCAGCTTCATGCTGGGCGGACTCGAGATGTCGCTGACTGACTGCAGGGGTGTATTTGTTGCTACCTTGGCCTCTTTATCGGCAATCACATCAGCTGGATGCTCAAACATACTCAATGACCTCCGACACTGCTTGCGGGGGCGCATCAAGGGGTGAGACTGCTTGCGAATAGAATTGGGAGCTGGTGAGCCGCTGCTACGGGCATGGTTGAATGGTGGACGCAGGCGAGGGGGTGCCAGGCTCGTCGACGAGTTGTTCCGCGAGAGAGGGCGCTCATGGGGAGGGGAGTCTCCGAACATATCCTCCAACGACGTCGATGTACTGAGCGAGGTCTTGGCTCCAGTGCCAAACCGGAAGGGAGGAGCCTTGCTCTCAGGTGCTGGCCGGGTCATTCCAAGTTGAAAAGACTGAGCCTTGCTTTTGGCAAGACTAGGACGGAGGAAAGCGGGACGCTTCCGCTCTGGTTGGCATAGCGGAGACTCAATTGGAGACGCCTGGAGAGGACTAGGAGCCGCAGACATAACAGGTGAATCCATAGGAGTGCAGTCCGGGGTAGGAGAGTGTACTTCCAGCTCTGCGGTAACAATGAAAGCTGGTTTATGGGGGAGAGGGGACATTTCCATAACGTCCATAGCCGGGGCGGGTGACGAGTCGAGGGGAGGAGTGGTCATAACATCATCTATATAGTATCAGCAACTGTTGTTCCCTGGTAGCATGAATGTTCCTTACCCTGTCGGTTGGCCTGGCTGAGCATGTTGGCCGTGAACAAAGACCGGCGTGGTGTGGCTAATTGGGGACTAAATATAGAGTCAGCATGCCTTTGTCCCTTTAACCTGAAACGAAGATGGAAATGAAAAACCAACCTCTGATCAATATGAAAGTTTTGCGACAGGTCAGCTGCCAAACTCGCCGTGGGGGAAGATCCCCGGACTGGTTTCATGTTGAAGTAGTCCGAACTTGACCTCTTCATGGACAGGTCCTTGAAGTTGAACGGGTTCCCACCAAACCCAGACATAGAACCCAGAGGATACGCAGTTGGAGCCTCTGAACGGAAGCAATGACCAAACATGACTGAGGGCGGCTGCATCGCCGCCAGAGGAGAGGAGTGTTCCATGATGCAAACTGTAACCGGTCCAGATCCGACGGTGTACAGTTAAGTGATGCAATGGCAATGACCCCAATGTCTACCCAGCACTAGGTCCTACAACGAGGTCCCGGGAAAATGTAGTGTTCGTGAATGCACGTCTCCACGTTTGCAATTTCTCGTTATGGGTCCCCACGATCGCCGTGACAACCGGTCTCAAAAAAAAATCCTGAGGTCCCAGACCCTCTAACCACCGAGAGCCTTGTATCGTGTGTGTGGAAGAAGCTATAGGGCCATGGCAAGCGAGCGAACAGGCAAATAGAGGCGGAGGAGGGGTCGGAGCTCGTGCAGGAGGGGACGTCGGAGATGTCGGAGATCTATTTGAGGTCGCGAACAGTGAGATATGAAGCAAGTTAAAACCCCGGATGTCCACCAAAACGAGGAATGTGTCGACCAGAAATATGGAGGAGAAAGAGAAGAAAAGGTGGCACAAAGCGATTTGAAGAAAGAACTGAAGCTGAAGGGATGGGCTTGTTGCAATGGGCAACGCAGGTGGGGAGGAAGAGTATAGGTTTGGTAATACTGCGGCTCCGTACGGTAAGAATTCAGAAATGAGTATTCAGTATTTAGTAGTATTTAGTGTAGCTTAATTGCTCTAAGCAGGGGAATGTATAGGGCCTGGTACTGTAAATACATGGGTCTGCATATTCGACCATTTAGGTAATTCCTTAGAAATACTGTAATTATAATTAATTCTTTATTCTACAAGGCCAGGTACGATCTACTGCGGTATGCAATGGCCCTAGACAGTAAGTGATAGACATCTGCTCTAGGGGCCAAATATTGCCGGTCTGGTTGCCCGGGCTCCCCTTGCCGCAGCAACCCAGCGCCTATCACAGTTGACTACTTGCAGCACTTTTCCCATTCTTACGTCTGTTCTCTGTACATCGACAGGGATTAGGCTTGGCACCCATGTGTCTTGTCTCGGGCTATACTGCTAGCTGTCTCTGACCCCTGGCCTATAGTATGGGGAAAGCTCAAGGAGCCTGCAGGATGTCTTCAATTCAATACATACAGTACCGAGAAGAGATTTCCCGTGGTTCCGGAGCTGTCGAAAATTGTCTCTTCCGTGTATCTTCCATGGGTCTTCTCCACTGCGTATGAAAGAAAAGTTTTCGTTTCGGTTTCAAACATCCCGTGTGCGCAACCGCAGCTGAAAAACGGAGATCGGGTCTAAGAAGCGCTAAAGTAAGATCCCCACTTAGTGTTCGGAAAAAATAGAGGCTTGATGCAAGTGATGTACGCAAGGGTTGAAATTCATAACGTCGGCTATTCGACGTCACCCATGAGATACCCCAGAGTGCGACGCTATATAGTACCTAGGAAGGAGTATGGAGTATGGAGTATGAAGTCCGTCTTGTATGGAGGGTATACGCTGATCACTCAAGACGAGCCACAGAATCACATTCATCTCGGAAAACTACCGTTATACCGAGGTGTTGATTGGCCTAGTAATCTATCTCGTCATCTCCAATTGAGAATCTTGAATTGCTTCAATATCGGCACGTAGTATCGAGTAAGGAATGGAAGATTATCTCCCATTCTTCTTCCCGGATAATCCCAGTCTTCCCATACCCGTGCCCTTACATGCCCACACCCGCATTTTTGCTGATCAAGGGTCCGCGAGGAGGACCAATGTCGCGCATCCCTTCCAACCCCCTTGTAGGAGGTTTAAGGTATTAATTGCTTATCCAGGGTAGTTTATTGAAACCTTCACCTGTCTGATGACTTGGGGTGGTCTCTTCTTCTTCTTTCCTCTCTGTACCCACGGCAATGGCAACAATTTTCGCGAACGCACTAGTTCAAAGTCTGATATCATAACGTGAAAGTGTTACGACGTCATTGGTCAATAACAGCAATGATACACATGCCCAATGGTTTGGATCTCACCCGACGATCTCGTTCTTACAACACGGTAAGATCCCTGACTATCGCGCGACTCACGAACAAGTTTGGATCTCTCGATCGGCTCTAATTCGGGGTATCAAACGCGATGTTCGTCAGAAAGCGCGCAAAAAATGAGCTCAGTTTGCCACCCCGGCGGCTCTCATCTCTCACTAGTCACTGGAGTCGGCTATGCTTGTCCAGTCACAATGGCCGACGGACCACTACGTCTCCGACTACTGCACCCCACGTCTTTGTATCCCCGGCCTCTTTGAAACACTGGGAGCTCAAGATCCACGTTTCCGAACAGTCCGAGGTGTATGGACTGCACAATGGCTACATCTGCATCTGAAGGCCTTTGTTTACTATAGCGGTGTGCACCTCCACGTCGACGCGACTGTATATTGCGGGGCTACGTCATGCCCACATATATGATGTTAACTGTGTGTGCACCGTGCACTTCACAAACCTGATGTTGATACTCCATGACGTTTGTCAATCTGCCCGGGGTCGCGTCTAATGTCTTGTTATTGAGACGGAGGGTTGCCCCGGGACAGACTGGCGACCCTCATCTATTTCAGGCTGCGGATATACAGTGGGCTCAGTCTGACATGCTATCGGTCGCTCCGATCTGCGCCACACGCATTGGGGTGGGGGCCAGTACAGCTGATGTGATCCGTCAGCTCGTCACAGCGCCATGTGCAATCGGGCCAGTCGTGTGTCGTCTCGAGCCGGTCGCATTTCCCTGCGGGGTTTATCACATCTCCGACCCGTGTCCCTGCAAGATACCCTGCTCCGGTTCTAGGCCTTCCCCTCTTTGTCTCAGGTTTGCTCCAATGGTGATGTCAGTCACCTTGATTGTTGACGGGCGCGTGTTTGAGCTTTGTGGGTAAACAAAGCACACGAAGCTAATGCGATATCCCGTGACCATGACATCAAGACTCGCTCAAGATTCTGGCCATGCCTGGTCATCTTACCTCTAGCAGCGGTATTGGTATTGTGAGTACTCGAAATACCCATACCCTGTCTTTCGTCCAATTTCTCAATTTCTCCCGGGGCCGATCTGCGACACTATTGAATCCCCAGGCCTGCCACTATGCGACAGACCACGCCATGGCTTCGTGCCTGTCAGCCTCTTAACTAGCACGCCCAAATCGTGGTGCTATCAATTCTTAGCGACGCCCTAACCCCCCATCCGGAAGCTGATGACCCCCCATCGCACAGCTCCAATCTCCCTCTCCACTGGACACACCACATTTAGCTGCTGAACTAGTACACTATGCATTCCACGCCTTATTGCATAGCTGAGGAATAAACAATATGATAGAACAAGCTCCTATTCGACTTTCCGGCGTCATCTCAGTTCACTCAAGGCCGATTCCCATAATTGCCGTCAGTAAACGCAAGTTCAAGTCCACCGTAGATGCTGTATCACCCTCCGAATAGCCGCCATGGTGCTCCCCACCTGTGATTAGGTTATAGCAGCGTACACTAACATGTAAATCAGGCAACTGAAGCCCAACCCCTGAATCATACAGAAACTCGACCTGTATAGACCAAGTCCAACGGTTGCCCGGCCATCAACTCCACCCACCGGCGGAACTCCATATATTATTCCTCCGACCCCGTCAGCATACATAAACCGCCTGCGCATTCGCACGAAATCCATTCCCACATGCTACATGTAAAGAACTATACATATAACCCGCACGACTAGAACTAAAAAGCCATGCAGATCCACAGCAGATCCCCCATCCATCCAAATCCACACCCACATCCACACCCGCATCTACACACATCAATTCTGACACAGTGTAATTTTCTTTCCTTTTGCCATCTCAGCCCAATGGCATCTACACCCACCATAGCGCCCCCAAGCCTCAGAGTTGATAGCCTGATGCATAAGTTAGCCTTTGCTATCCATCATCGACTCTCGGAACGATGCATCCACCGGCGCGTGGGGCGCGGACAACCGCACCACACTTAGCCCTGGATACTCTGACATATAATTCCGGCCTTGTCCCGGTTGCACTTGACAACAGGACGCACTTTTTTTGCTAGTTTGCGCTCTGGACGGCCGGCTTTGGGTTGCTGTCGGGATGGTGTTGTCTCGTTTTCTGGATCCGTCTTACCCCTGAATCAGTCTGGACATTCTATGGGGTCTGGTGGATTCTTACGGGGGTGTTTTTTTTTTTTTGAGTTGGGGCTTTTACAGCTTCGAATACTGGCGTTTTTGGTGAGACTATTGTAATTGTATGCATTTTGGTGTTTGATTCTTCTTTTGTGAGCTTTTGGATTTTCGTCCTTGATGCATGTTTGAGGGGTTCTATTATAAGTTTTGGTTGCTATAGATATGGATTTCTATTGTTTTTGTTTAACTTCTTTTGGTTGAGTCTTGCGAGAATAGGGATGTAGCTATCCTTTGGTTTGACTTGGTGTTGCAGTTGTAGGGTTTGGTGGTGCTCGATATATCTTTGTGAAATGAAGTCGTAGACACTGGATGTATATACTTCAACCAAATATCTGCCACTGTGCACCATCACACTTAGATATCCCAAAGAGAAAATATATGAGCCAACTATGTCTATATACTCCAGAAGAAGAGAATAAACTACTCTATACTTCTACTTCCAATACTACACTCTCCAAAAATCCTTATCGGCTTATCGGCCAACGCTAGTCCCAAATAGGTTACAGCCCGAATTTTTCTTGCTCCAACGGCCGCAAGGAGCAACATCAAACGTGCCCGCATACCCAAATTCAAGGCCTGCGAGAGGGCATTCCGACGATTAGTCGCACATTCATACCCCTCTCAAATATCCAGCCGCCACAATGGCTCCCAAGCGCCGTCGCGAAGGTTACAATGTTGACGTGAAGCTGGTGGAACTCTACGAAGACCTCGCCAGCGAAAAGGACGAGATCAGACTCAAGGCTGCCCAAGGCCTCGTCTCAGAATTTACCCCGGATAAGAACCCCCCGATGAGCAGATCCAGAAGGTCCTGCGGAGACTCTTCCGCGGTCTCTGCAGCAGCCGCAAAGCTGCGCGTATCGGTTTCTCAATTGCCTTGACAGAGATCCTGACCCAG